TAACAAGAATGATAGAATGAACACATTTTTTTGCTCTTTTTTTTTTACTTTTTGTTTTCAAAATCATTTGATCGAACCTGATGTGGGTTGCCTACGTATCATGTGAGAACATGAATCAGATCTTGCGTAGTTCATGGAGGATCAGTAATAAAATAAATAAACTCACTCTTTTTACTCATATATAAATAACCCCACGAAACCTCCTAGCAAGGAAAATATTTTGGTTTTTTTTTTTTTATTTCGCCTTTTCTTTTTATTTTGTTATTGTTTTTGGAATCTTCGAAAGAAAGACCTTTTAAAAAAATATTTTGGATTTTTATTTTTGTTTTTGTAAATTTAAAAAGACAGAAAATATTTTTTGGATTTTGATTTTTTTTTTTTTTTTTGAATTTTGGGAGAAAGACTTTTTTCTTAAAAAAAAGAAGAAATGTTTTTTGGATTTTTGGATTTGACGTCTCAAAGAAAGACTTCCAAAGAAGGAATTAAAAGAAAATATATTTTTGTATTTTTGAAAATTGGGGGCCGGAACCGATGAGGTTTGCCTACGTATCTCACATCCGGTGAGAATCAGACCCGCGTAGTTCGGTTAAAACCGACTATGTTCTTCTTCTTTTTTTGATTTTTATGAAAATTAATCTTTAAAAACCATATGCACTAGACCACATCATTTTTTCTCTGTTCGTTCAACTGATTTATGCTAAAGTCGGTCGACATGCAAGCCTCCCAAATAATGCAACAAGTAGCGCATAACATGACATAGTGGTCTCAACAAGGTACCTGTCCTAAAATAGAACTCGACTCCTGTGTCGAGCGCTGCTAAGTCAAATGCACATGATGCAAATAAAGCGTAGCCTGGATATTCATTACTTATGGCTTGTTCTTCTAAGTTTCCAAATCCTAAAGGAGATGGTATCTAGACCTGGCTTACCCGGGTGGACAACCCAAGCCGAGGAGCGTCAAGTGTCACCAGTAGTAGAACAACACTGGCTAGCTAACGGCTCTCCCGCCTAAGCATGTGTGACTAGATCCTTCACCAGAAGCTGGTAGGCTAACTGGCTTTATCTCAAGACAGAATTTTTGTGATGCTGGTAGGCAAACACAACATAACTAACTATAAGAAGACTCAGAGGGGTGCGAGAGAGTATACAATTTATATGTACAGTTCAACAATATTAAAACGGAAAGAAGTGGACAAGTAACACATTAGGCCCAAATAAATCACAACATATACAAAAATTAATAAAGCCAAATAAAGTCAATGTACAAGCTTGAATTCTTGAGACTCCCCAGCAGAGTCGTCAGAGCTGTCACACCCCTTTTCTACCCCCCAAAAAAGATAATGTATGTTATTTTATGGATTGTGGGTTAAAGAGTTTTTCCAATTGAAGTGACAGATTTGAATAGGGATTATTTTATTTACAGAGTCGCCACTTGGAATTGAATTTTCGGTGTTCCAAGTCACCTTTTATTTGAATCCCTAATCAAAGGAATATTTGACTCTATTATTAATTGGTCTGCGAAAACAAAGTCCGAGTAAGAAATTCTGTTGACCGGGGAGAAGGTGTAAGGCATTCCCCGAGTCCTGTGGTTCTAGCACGGTCGCTTTATTGACTTAAACTTGGCTTGAATTTATTTTAGATAAACTGTGTTTTATTTGGACTTTCATGTTTTACCTATCCACTTGTAATTATTAAAATTATTAAAGAAAAGATTTGAATAAAATTGTCCTAACCGCACCACGCAAACGAATGTGTGATCAAGATGAATTTTATTGATTTTTATCATCACCGTGCTACGCAAGCGAATCCGCAGTCATGACGAGGATTATTAGTACGTTATTACTTTTGGAGAAAATTACTACATTCGAAGAAAATAATTTTGAAATTTATTAAAAGTTAACTATCGCGCTACGCAAACGAATCCGCGAGCTTAGCAATGGATTTTTAAATTAAAAATTAACTAAAACTAACGAGTATGGTATAACATTATTGTATTAAATTATTGAATGTTAAACATTACGTTACGCAAGTGATTCCATGAAGTTAAAGTACGCCTACTAATTGCCTAGCATCTAAATTAATTAAAAAGCGCTTCTTTTTTATTTATTACTTGTTCGACCGGGAAAAAAAATAATATTATTATTTAAAATAATTTCTAACTAATACAAGACATTAAACCCGGGTAAGCTTATGTTAAACTTTCATGGTATTGGGCCACTTATTTTATTTAACAAAAGATAATTTATTGATTTTAAAGAAAATGCACATCTTACTTTCTATTGTCATTGGGCCTACAGATTTTAGCTTATTTGGCCCATGTTTCTTAAGAGCCTCGATGACCAAGACAACACAAAATAACAAGTATTCTTCTAAGCTCAAATTACTTCTTACATTGATGTCCAAACTAAAATTATTTTTCATAAAAGAAACTTACATGCTAATTATTATCTTTTATCTTCTTAACCAACTATTTCTAAAGGACTAACATAATATTTCTACTCATCTACACCAACATGACACTAATCAAACTACACCCAATAGCAACATAAAAAATCATGACTAAATATAAAAACTACAAAAAATGGCAATACTTTAATGCTAAAGAGAAAAGCTATATTATAACATTATTTTGACTATAATTCAAAGTATCAAAACATTTGAAGCTAGAAGTCTTTCTTACATAATTATACATGAACCATGAAAGTAACTCACAGAAAAGATCCCAAACTAAACAAACATGGTTAAAAGTAAGGTCTTTATCTTTTCCTTAAACTAAGTAAACTTAACAGAATGCAATTTCAATCACATATATAAGGAAGAAAACGATAATTTAACTAATTTTTAACAGATTTACATGATGATAACACTAATATAACATTCATCTTGAAACAAAATCAGATCTAACATGTTCCATCAATCAAATCGGGATCAAATCCTTCTTATTATCATCAAGAATCTGCAATATAAGAATTTGAAAGTTACCTGATTTGTAGAATAATAAAATGCAGCAGCAAATACAGTAGAAACAACAGCAACTCAAGTGTTAAGACAACCCAGAAAACTCCACAAAGATGCTTGAAACTGGTAGCTATCAACTTCACAAATTGCCTAAGGGATCTTTCTATTTTTCTCAAAGTTTTTGCACTCAAATAATACTCACAAAGCTCTGAAATTTCTTCTTGCTCTATGTATTAAGCTGCTGATTTTTCTCAAAGATATGTCTTTAAGCAACTCTCCAAGATGTGTGTGCCCCTTTTTATAGGAGAAGAGCAGCCTTTTAAATAGGCAAATAAAGTCAGATTTTTTTGGACAAATTTTGGTTCACCAAAAGTCTGACTTTGTGTGCTAAACACTGTTCAAAAGCTGTCAAAAAGTATTGTATTTATCACCACACAATGACTTTTGAGTTTTGTACTCCAAAATCTTTGCACAGTAAAAACAACCAAACTTGTACTATTCCTTCTTTAATTTCGGCTTTTTTCAACACAAAATTCAAATACTCAAATCCAATAAAATAAATTCACTAAGAACTTGAAACTTTTATCATAAACTATCATGACTAAGCGAATAGCTATTTCAAAACTAATGAATAACTAATTATCAGTGATTAATAACTATGAACGACTAAGCTAACATAGATTAAATACAACTAATAATAAAAATATAAATAATATAATAATAATAATAATAAAAATAAATAAATAAATAAATAATCATAAATTATGCTAGACATAAACTAAATACAATACAATTAAAAAAAATAGACAAAGGAAATGAGAATAGGGGTATACCAAATGAGGGCGTTCGGGGTGGTCGTCGAAATTTGGCCGGATTTTTAGTTGCTAGATTTTCAGGATGGAATTCACATCAATAGGTAGGTCTTGATGAGCTCTATCCGTTGATGTAGATATTGTGGGGTGGTAGTGGCCGGAACTTCAAGGTTTTGGGCAAAAAAATGGAGGCTAAAGTTTCCTAGATCTAAAATTCAAGGAGTTTGAGGGGTTTTTGAAGGATTTGGTTTGGAGATATGGAAAGAGGAGGTTGTGGAGATTACATGGTGTGAATTTGGGGGTGTTTGGAGGTTGGCCGCCGCCGATGGGCGATTTTCGACGGCGGTGGCGGCGACGGAGAGAAGGGAGAGAAGAGAGAAAGAGTTATGGGGGAAATGAGGGAATTTTTCAGATTTTTGAGGCTTTAAATACCTATTGAGAGATCAAATATGGACCATTAGATCAAGGGGTGATCAATGGGTGAGATTTGATCTTGGGTCACTTAATGAAACGACGTAGTTTTGAGGCAAAACTACGTCGTTNGAGGCTTTAAATACCTATTGAGAGATCAAATATGGACCATTAGATCAAGGTGTGAGATTTGATCTTGGGTCACTTAATGAAACGACGTAGTTTTGAGGCAAAACTACGTCGTTTCAGACCCTTTCAAGGGCAGCCCCTTTATCTTGCACTTTTGGTCACTTTCTCTTTCAAATTTGGCCCAATTTCTTCCTTAATCCTACTTATTAAACTAAATTTACACAAACAAATAAATTAGTTAAGTAACTTATTCAAATGATCAATTAACTAGATTAATTCACCAATTGAAATAGTTAGTTAATTCTTAAAATACACAAATAAAGAAAGAACTATTTTTTGGTATTTTTATGATAGGCAATATGCAATCAAAGACACAAAAATTGGGGAAAATAATTAAAGTAATAAAACACTAATTACTTTAGGAGGTGTTAAAATAGTGCAAAAATTAGGTATTCACAAGGTTTAAACTCTAGGACGCCGTGTCCTGAAGTTTGAGCTAAATTGACTTCTTTAAATACATTATAAACTGTGGATATATTTTAAATAGCATGCTTAAAATTGACTACGTGGTGTCATTTCCACAACTTTAAAATGCTTCTAAAAGTAGGCTATTTATTCAATATGGGTCCTAAAAAGGCTATTTGTGCACTTGGGCCAGAAAATAGCAACTGAATGGAGTTAAAATTTGGACCCTTATAACGACGAATGATTTTGGCCCGCCAATTTCAAATGTCGCCGGAGTACAAACTCTCCGCCGTCAATACTTTGCTTCTCTCCGCCAGAACACACCTCCACAATCGTCGTTTCTCCACAGAAATCAAGCTGTAAGTTCCCCTTTTTCACTCCTGCTCTTTCTCTCTCCTCCTCCTCACTGTTTCTCACGAGACAAAAACCCTAATCCCTATTTCCCATAAGATAATTCGAATTGGGAATTGAGATTCAGCACTTTGTACTCCTTCCACACAAAGAAGGCATCTTTAGTAATGAAATTCATCTTTTAACACCCTCTTTACCATTAGTCGTGATATTTTCTTTTACCTTGCCGAGATTGCTCAAGACTGAACTAAATGATATGTTGATACCAAATTACCGACATAGCTGAACTTTATGGACCTATAATTAGGTTGAATTCACTGTAATGTGGAATTAGAAAATACCAATATCACCTCCATTTTTAAAAATCATGATATCTGAAGCCATAATACGCTAAAAGATCCATTTGTATTCGAATTGGGTCCACCATTTAGAGCTTCCAAAAAAAAGGAAAGAAAATGGAGAACCCAAATTCACAGGGTTCGATCTCAAAGAGACCTGTCAGAAAGAGGGTAGCGTCAAGGAATTATAATGAGAATTTGATGGATGAGTTGATAGAGGAGCATTTGGGTGGTTCTGTGAGGAAGAGGAATAGAACAAAGAAAGATCTGGAGAAAGAAACTGAAACAGAGGCAATGATTGCTCTTTCTTTGGGCTTCCCCATCGATGACCTTCTTGAAGAAGAAAGAAAGGCTGGAGTCGTAATTGAACTGGACGGAAAAGAGCAAAATGATTACATTGTTGTGAGAAACCATATTCTTGCAAAATGGAGGGAGAATGTGCATATTTGGCTGTCCAAAGGAAAGATAAGGGAAACAGTAAGTGCGGAGTATGAGCATTTGGTGGCCGTAGCATATGACTTTCTTTTGCATAACGGGTATATAAATTTTGGGGTTTCACCATCAATTGTATCTCTTATTCCCGAGGAACCTAGTGAAGGGTCTGTAATTATTGTTGGTGCTGGACTTGCCGGTTTAGCTGCAGCAAGGCAACTGATGTCATTTGGATTCAAGGTGGTTATCCTTGAAGGTAGGAACCGACCTGGAGGAAGAGTTTATACTCAGAAAATGGGACGGAAGGGCAAGTTTGCTGCTGTGGATCTTGGTGGCAGTGTCATAACTGGTATCCATGCGAATCCTTTGGGAGTTTTGGCTAGACAACTTTCCATTCCGCTTCACAAAGTTAGAGATAAGTGTCCTTTATACAAGCCTGATGGAGCTCCTGTTGATGCAGAAATTGATTCCAGAATTGAACTCATTTTCAATAAGCTACTAGACAAAGTTACCGAGCTAAGAAAAATAGTAAGTGGATTGGCTAGTGATATCTCGTTGGGCTCCGTTTTGGAGATGCTTAGACAACTATATGCTGTGGCTAAAACTACAGAGGAGAGGCAACTTCTGGATTGGCATTTTGCAAACTTGGAATATGCAAATGCTGGATGCCTCTCGAAACTCTCTGCTGCCTATTGGGATCAGGATGATCCTTATGAAATGGGTGGTGATCATTGTTTTCTTGCCGGTGGAAATTGGGGTGTAATCAGAGCACTGTGTAAAGGAGTACCTATATTTTATGGCAAGACTGTTCAGACAATAAAGTATGGACATGAAGGAGTTGAAGTCGTTTCTGGGGACCAAGTTTTCCAGGCAGACATGGTCCTCTGTACTGTTCCTCTTGGGGTACTCAAAAGAAGAACAATTAGATTTGAACCAGAGTTACCTGAGAAGAAGCTTGAAGCTATTGATAGGCTAGGATTTGGGTTGCTGAATAAGGTTGCCATGGTATTCCCTCATGTTTTTTGGGGGGAAGACTTGGATACCTTTGGTTGCCTCAACCTCTATAGCCATAGACGAGGAGAGTTCTTCTTATTTTACAGTTACCATACTGTTTCTGGGGGTCCAGTACTTATTGCACTTGTTGCTGGTGATGCTGCTCAACTTTTTGAATCCACAGAGCCGACCACTATAATTAATCGAGTTATGAGCATTCTCAAAGGTATGATCCATCTTTATTTTTATATTTTTATATCGGTGGTGTCCGGATCAACCACCTTGACTAATCCACCAGACAGCCTATCCAACTCACAAGCAGCAGGTTTCCCAGGTAATCCTGCTAAAAAAAAAAATCCTGCTCACTTAGGCTGGAGCAGATGACTCAACCACTTGGCGATCTCCTTGGGACGTATTGTCCATCTTTGTGCAGGATAGATAGATTTAATTTTCTTTTTTATTTTTTTGTTCTTTGAGGAAGAACATGAAATCTGGTTTCATTTTCATCTGGCTGTGTTGACAGGCATCTATGAGCCAAAAGGCATAAGCGTGCCTGATCCTATACAATCCATATGTACAAGGTGGGGAAATGATCCCTTTTCATTTGGCTCATATTCACATGTTCGTGTTCAGTCTTCTGGCAGTGATTACGACGTACTCGCAGAAAATCTTGGAGGTCGGCTGTTTTTTGCTGGAGAGGCTACGATTCGACAACATCCAGCCACCATGCATGGCGCCTATTTGAGTGGCTTAAGAGAAGCTTCTCGCATTTCCCAGTCCATGAAAGTGAGGCAAAACAATCCAAGGAAAACTGTACCAAAGAATGTCGGACCAGGCAATGATGTACTGGAAGAGTTGTTCAAGAGGCCAGATCTTGCATTTGGGGACTTCTTGTTTGTATTTGATCCCTTGACTTATGATTCTAAATCGTTAGGACTCATGAGAGTTACTTTTGCAAACTCCAACGATGAACTTAATGCAGAATTGTCTTGTGGCAAGGAGGCAGATAATATGCCTCAGCATCTATTAAATCAACCATTGCAGCTTTATACAGTTGTGTCTCGTGAGCAGGCGCTTGAGTTGCAGTTGGTGAAGGGTGGAAATGATTGTAAATTGTCATATTTGTTTAAAGGTCTTGGCTTGAAGTTACTGGGAGCTAATGCATTAGGAATTCTAGGCAACTCTTTAGCTGCTAACATTTCTAATTCTCGAAAAGGCAGAGGCCGGAATCGAAGTTATGGTGCCCAACAGAATGCAAGCTACACTAATATTCAGCTATCTTGAGTAATGCTGAATGTATCTTCAAATTTGTGGAATGCAGTAGAGATGGCACTCATTTACATCTTACATTGACTGACCAGGACAAATATTAGTATGTTAGTTAGAGTCATAGCATGCATTCATGTTGCGCGCTGGTACATCTTGTGCAACCGGCGATGTAGTATGTGCTCCAAGACCTCATTCAGATACTGTTTTAGCTGTGAAGTTGAGTAAGCCATGGTGAAAAAGGATTGAGGAATCGGCACATTTGCATCTGGCTTGAGAGTTTCAAGCCTTCCTGTTCTGTATCTGTTGGTTTTGTTGTGGATATTCTTTTGTATGTTTGTCCTTAGTACTCCTGGAAAAAGCAAAGAGTAGACTAAAAGTTTTTTTAGTCCCTTTTGTAGGCGAACTTGTATAACTTTTGGAATAAAAGAAACAAGTAGGATGGGGTTAGACTTGTTGTAAACTTGTACCAGTAAAGAGCTGAAAATGAAAAAGAAATATAGTCGAATGCATGTCAGCTGTGTGTCAATTTATTAGTTTCTTGTTTAACTTTGTTTTACCCAGATTATCAGCTCCTAGATGTCTCTTGTTACATATACTGCAGTTTATTAGCTATTTAAGCTAGTTATCAGTTCTCTCTCTCTTATTTTGCAGGTTGTACTCAAAACTATAAAACAACTGATAAAAAATACCGCTTGTCCGTCTAAGAGAATGTTGCATTTCACACCTTTGGTCACGTTTGAATGTTTCTGGGTATTTGACCAAAGAGACATCTGTTTTTTTTAGTGTCCCGATTACATGTCTCGTTTTGCTATTAAGAGGTAAAATAATAATCTAATTTTGGACCAAACTCGTAAAAATCATAAAATTTGTAAAATCTTAAAAGGTAATGTTTACAACGCTTCAATCTTAAGCAAGTTGAAGCGGCTATATGGATTCTCATTATGAAACGTTGTATGAAAGTAAACACCGGGCAGTCGTCTAACATCAAATGTTCTTAAGAAAATCAACGCATGCACGGCAATTGCAGTCCTCGAATTTGCACATGCTGCAACCAAAGCAAACACATCTCACGCAACCATTGCACTTAGCAGTTCTGGGACAAGCCCTGCATGCTTTTCTACTTTCTCTTTCTTCAGCATCATTACAACTTATTCTGCAAAAAAAAACACACACACACACACAATTTCGTTAGATAGTAAAACAAACTTATGATAAACAACAAAATAAATTTAAAAATTCGGTATGCAAACTTCTATTCTACAAACTAAACCCTCTCTTATCTAGAAATAGAACTGTATGGCATGTTTCAACATGATCTTATGGCTAAATCGTTCTTGATCCTGTTATGACATATGAATAATGAAACAGTTAAGAGCCCCACCTAGGACAGAATTATTAAAGAAGTTTTTACACTATTATTCTAATTTAAGTGGTTCTAACAGGTTGTTGTACGTGTTCTAATAATGTTACAGACTATACGAATTACTTACTTGCAGTTGGCCTTTTAAGTAATTTGATTTTAAAATATCATTTTCAATATTAATGTATAAAATTTAAACTCTTCAATTAAACACATCTATTTATCTCACAATGCAACGTATCAGCTATTATACGCCTAAACCAGCCGTATCATGTCCTATAAGATATTGCATGTAGTAGGCTATGCATGTGTGATGTTGTTTGAATATTTGTAATAGTGAATCAATTATAAAGAACCAGCATTTTATGGTAATGTCTCTATGACAAGCTACAAGCATATCTTTCTATGTCAATGCACAATATGTATTTTACTCATATAATACATGCATTGTCAATTGATGATTTCACTAATATATTAGACATTGAAGTAGTATGTATTCTCTAGTTATTACCAGCTAATAGTAAACCTATTTCACATAAAATAAAAACAAACAAATAGAATAAATAACGCAGGTTACCTGTTACAACATATTAAAACACACTGGTATTGTAATCGAAGGAATCGAGAATATAATATTACCTTTTGTGAGGCATATCAGAGCATTTCCAATCCTTGTTAGCAACAGCATCATGATAAATCCTGCATTCTTCTTTAGTGCGTAGAAGAAAGCGACGATCTTTGTTACAATTAGTGCAACGAATGAACTCATCACGATGTATGATTTGGCCACGAAGAGGCCTACGAAATGTATCAGTGTGATATTTCAACAAACATGTCTTCCACAAATTTTCTCTACGCCCTTCCTTATTATTTACCCAAATTTGGCTTTTCCAATTCTGAATTGCCGTCTTCCTCCCAGCATGTTTTGCAAATTCAATCGGTGATAACTTCACTGGCAAAAGAACCAAAGAAACAAGTTTTCAAGGGGACAATTCAATAAATAAGAGGCAATAATTCAAACTATAATACATGACATTGAATCCTTGTTGCTTAGTTTAGTGGTGAATTCAAGATTTAAAGTTAGAGAATCCTGCTCTTTAATTAATAGATGTGTCAATATTTTTCAATGCACATATAATTTGAGCTAGACGTATTGGATTTTGTTCATGAGCCGTTGTGTCTAGTATAGATCCGTCACAGATTTGTAGTTGGACGTTTTCCTCTCCTTGTTAACTAGGTGGAAAAAAGATCTATGAAACAATAATAATGGAAAATAAATAGGACCTTCTGGACAACCACTATAGCACTGACAATCAATTTCAAGCCTCCCGTCTGGGAAAATTCTGAGCTTTCCATTTGTGTCACCGAATTTGGTAACAGTGCAGCCACATTCGATCTCGACATAGTCCGATCCTCTCTTTAACACACCCATGAAATTTTCTAACTCTTTTTCTGTAAACATGTCTGCAACCTTATAAAGAGAAAACATTGGTAAAAATATGTCATTTGAGGATCAAGTCACAGAATGTCGAAAAATCAAAAGAAGAAAAAGAAAACCCTTTTATTGACGCGACATAAATCGTCAGATCTATTAATTAATATTTAAAGCTCAAGCATTGAACATTTTCTATTTCGTACCACAGCAATCGATATATACTGTTAATGTCTTGATACTATCACAAAGTTACTTGAATGCATAACAATTTATTGACCAAGATACGCTAGTTATGTGCATAAACAATAAAAGAAAAAAGTAAATAATAAAAGTAGAAGAATAACAGTACTTGTACACTTGGTGCAAATTAATAGAGCTGCCCAAATAGCCCTTTTTTAACATACATCTGAAATAACATCAAGTCGAGCACAAAAACATATCTAAGTTGCTAACAAGGAATAGACATACCTTTTTAAACTCGAAATGTCAAGTGTTTATGAGTAAATCTATGAAGTTATATTCAATTTTTGTGAATTCTGATATAGAACTATGCGCCTCCAAAACCTTTTAAAGTGATAATTTTCAATTTCTCATATTCATGTAATCGGAGTTTTAAATAGTAATATATCTATAAGGTAAATAATTAAAATGAACAAGATTACGTCTTACCTGGAAAATTGACCTTTGACATCACAACAACCTAATAAACGTAAGAAAATTATATTAAATAATTATTTATCCTCTTCCAAATGACCAACATGATCCCATTTATTCTTGTGAAGACCCGATAGGTCGTTTCGAGTACTAACTCTTCATTTCGTGTTTCGAGACCATTCATAGCTTTATTTGATGATTTATGACTTACGTGTGTGATCCGTGTCGAATTCTAGAAAGCCCAAATGTAATTTTTTAAAGAAAATGTGATTTTTACCTTTGAAAATGGCTAAAGTTGACCACGGTCAATATTTTTGCTAAACGACCTCGAATCGGTGTTTTGATGATTCCGGTAGGTTCGTATGATGATTTTGGACTTGTACGCATGTTTGGTAGGGGTCCCGGGTGACCCGAGGCCGTTTCAACACTATATGTGGAAAGTTGGAAATTTAAGTTTAAACTTTAAAAATCTTGAGTTTTGATGATCGATTCTTAATTTTAGAGGTTATTTTGATGATTTGAGCTTGTGAGCGAGTTTGTATGATATTATTACACTTGTGTGAATGTTCATATTAGAGCCCGGTGCTCGGGTGAGGTTGGATAGTTTGCGAACTATTTTTGCATAGTTGAAGTATTGCTGGTGTGCTGAGCTTGCGAAGTTCTGTTCGCAAATGCAAGCCTCGCATTTGCGATGTTGGGCAGGGAGTTATCGCAATTGCGATGGTTGTGTCGCATTTGCGACACCGAACAGTGGTCGGAAAACTTCACATATGTTTTGCAAGGGGTTGGACCGTCACAAATGTGAAGGCTTAGTCGCATTTGCGACATCTGGGAGGCTCAGGCACTGGTCGCATTTTCGGACATCGTAAATGCGAACAAGAGTTCACAATTGCGATACCTGCAGCTGGTTAAAAGATTGAGATTTCGAGACTTAGCTCATTTTACACTATTTTTGAGACCTAGACTTCATATAGGCGATTTTTGGAGAGCAATTTCTTCTCTACTTCATATGTTAGCAATCTTAACTTGTTTTCATTCAATTTCTATCACTTTTCCATGAATTTCAATATCAAATCTAAGATTCATAGAGTAGAAATTGGAGATTTTGGGTAGAATTAGGGATCTAGTAAAATTGATATTTAGACCTCAAATTGAGGTCGGATCTCGAAACAAATTACATATTTGGACTCGGACTGAATGGGTAATCCGAATTTGTCTTAATTTTAGATTTCGACCATGTGGGCCCGGGTTTACTTTTTGTAGACCTTTTCAAATATGATAAATATCGAATCTTTTCATTCGAGGGTAGTTTCTAAAGTTTGTTTTGACTTGTTTAAACAATAATTGACTAGATACGGGTAGTTTGGAGGTTTGTTCTAAAGGAAAAATCGTGTTGGACTGTTGATCTTAATTCGAAAAGAGGTAAGTATCCTGATTAACCTTGATTTGAGGGAATTAGAACATGATTGGTCTATTTGATACGTGATTTATGTGTGGGGATGACGTATATGTAAGGTGATGAGTGTATATGCATTGTCATGGGTTTAAGTATGCGGGGTATGTTACTTTATTTTATGTCTTTAATTATACCATGTCTTTACTTATTCCATGTTATTACTTGTTAGGTGCTCACACTTGATATATGTTTCATTTTATATATGTGTCCTTACTTATTACATGTCCTTAATTGCTACATGTTCTAGCTTATTTATCCTTTTAGTTATTGTACGATTGTTACGTTCTCTTACATGTTATTAGACAGATGCTTTTACATGCCTCAGCCTTTACTTGCCTTATTACCTTTACTTACTTCCGTTTTTACTCTATTATGTTATATCAGATTGCCTTAGAGAATTATGCGTCTTAGTTTCCTTTTTTTGTTACGTTGTGAGATTCATCGCACTTGATTGTTACTGATATATCGGATCGGGTTATGCCTTAACAGTACTATTATATATATTGGATCGAATTGCATACCGCAATAATATTATTATATACATTGGATCGGGTTGCACGCTACAACAGTATTGTTATATATATTGGATCGAGTTGCGCGCCACAACGG